ATCGAGCTTTGTTGAGGGGAAGAAGGAATGCTTTGGCAGATTTTTCCATTTTCCAAATAATCAGTAAAAAAAAAAAAAAAAAAGCACAATTCGGTTTTTTTAAATTGCCTATTTTAATTTCTGAGAAGTATTCATCACTACAAGCAAGAAAAACGTGCACAGTGCCTTAGATTCTAAAGAATCTCCCTGTGCCAAGTATTATTCATTTTTCCCAAGAATATTACTTTTTAAAAAATTATGAGTCTGAGCTGATACAATAATTTAGAATAAGCCGTTGCGATCACTGAGATACTGATTTATTCGCATTATTATTGTCTGACTTTTCACTGACACCTGGTGAACTTGGAGTCTCAGAGATCCCGGGAGTTATTTTAGTCAGGGTGTCCTTGCCCTCCTGCTGGTAGATTAATTGCATATTAAACATCGTGTTTTCAAAACAAAATGATAAATCTGGACGCATAAAGGAGCCACAGAAAGAATCACTGCGAGGGACAGGAGGGGATGTTAAGAAAGAAAACAAGAGATTGCAAAAGAGATGCAGAAAGAAGCAAACGCAGGAAACGCAACCAGGAGAGGATGTCAGGAAAACGCGGATAAAGGGCAGGGACGGCTGAAAGCCGGGCCAGAGGGAGGCGGGGAGGAGGCAGATTTTTGGTTTTCAAATCCCAGGCGAGGCTGCTGGCGTCCGCACCGGTACCGCCCCAGCCTTCCAAGTTGAAGCGAAAGCCACCTCCTCGGGCCTGCGTCGCGTCCAACTTACTCCAAGTTTTCTGCGGACTCCTAGGGGTCCCTGCCGTCCCCCTCCCCGCCTCAGTGAGATTGACAGTCGCGTGGAGGAGGCTTTTCCAGGCGCAGCCTTTCTCATGATAATCAGACCCCTGCATCACCTCCCGGCCGGCCCGGCTGCTCTCCGGAGCCGAGTCCCGGACCCCGGGGACCGGAAACGGGCGGCGGGCGGGGTCAGCTGACCGGCGCGGGCGGGGGTCGCGGGCTCGGTGCGGGCGAGGCCACCCCTGCACGTGCTCCGCCGCCCGGCCGCCTGGGGACCGAAGCCGGGGCGGGGGCGGTGGGCAGAGCGCGCCGGGGACGGGGACAGCGAGCAGACCTGTTTTGCATCAATAAATTAAGATGCTCATTTGGGTCCTGAAGTTTGCTGGTTCCTGTCAGTGTAGATGTTGGCAAAAGCCCTGAAGCCGAGATGCATCCTTTACTTCAAAAAATAAAAGGAAAGAAAGCCCTCAGCGGGCTGCCCTGCTGGGGCCAGGTGACGTGTGAGATTCCACAGCCCGCGGGCCTCGCAGCAGGGATGTGAAGGACGAGCTGAGGTTCTCTGGTCCTGTTTTGGTTTTGTTTGCAAGGGCTTCTCGGAGAGATGCTCCCGATTTTTTTTTAGTAGTCTTTCCCCTCCTATCCTAAGCTCAACTCTGAATGGATTGGATTGCGAGTTTGCACGTGAGAAGACCGTTTGGCTTGACTTGGACCCCTGCCGTCCCCCACGCCCTCCACACACACCCAATCCTGGGGTCCCCTCAGCACCCTTTGCTTGCAACTCCAGGAGAAGTTGCCCACCTCCTCCTGCGTAACAACACAGGGTCGAAATAATTTCTCTGGATGAAAGAGCAATTCCGTCTCAAAATGAGAATGGATTTTTTTAAAAAATTTTCTCCACATGGTACAAAATAAACAGAGTTTGCTTTTTAAAAAAGTCATTAGCAGTGGCCAAATTCGAATTCCTTCTGCAGCCTGTGTGTTCAAGGGCAGAAGCAGCGTACCTCTGCGGGCATCTGGGCCGGCGAGGGGAGTGAGGCGCTGGGGGAGGGGGCTGTGAAAGTTGAGGAAATTGACAGACTGAGAGGTGAATGGGGGGACAGACCCCAGGTCCTGGCTGCAGGGGACTGAGAAACAAAAATGCACCCTTCGCGCCCTGCTTGGGTTGGAGGGGATCCTGGAGACATGCAGTTTGTTCCGCCCAAGGAAATCCGAAAGAATTGTTTTTCCCCTTCAAAGTCGATTGCAATATTACTGCGCGTTTGTGTGTATCTGTTGTTTTAATCCCCTTCCTCTGCGCTTATCTCGAAGTGGATTATTAATGGGGAAGACAGACAAGAAAGGAGCGATTCATTGCAAGGACTTGTTTTGCTGTGTGAGAAGCCGAAAGCTGGTAGTAGCCCCTCGTCCTCTTGACTTTTCCCGAGTCCCGCGCTCCTGCATTCCGAGGATCCCACGATCCCCATGGTCCCGGACCCGGCCCTCAGACTGAGGGAGTGTTTCGAGCAGATTTATATTCCGGCTTGCTCCTACCCCACTGCCTGCTCAGCGTTTGTGGGAACCCTCAAAGTCACTCGCTGGGAGAGGGGCGTGCCGGGTAGGGACAGTGGGCGACCCAGCCCTGCATTCAGCCTGCGCGGAGGCCTCTCCCAAACATCCACCTGGAGGGGAACTTTTTTTTTTTTTTTTAACTCTAAATGGCTTTAAAAAGAAAAAAAGAAAAGAAAGAAAGAAAGAAAGAAAAAAGAGCCCACACCAAATACTCGCTGGTCAGAACTCCCAATGCTACATGTTGGGGGTGCCCTCTGCCCCTTGAACCGTGCTGCAGCCTGGGTAATCAGATGATTGGGTGTTTTTAATGGCAATACTTCATCGCATTTTCTTTAAGTTTGATCCAAATAGCAGGACATCTAGCATAATAATAAAGCCTGGTGCTCTGCTTGCTACTGAAGTGGATGCTCTGACCTGTGGTAACACCTGTGAATTTGCATCCGGGCTGTGAACCCCCAGTGGCTACCTGGGAGCTGAATAGGAGCCCTGCCTGAAACCCTACCCTGGGTTCCTTCCCAGGACTGGGGAAGGGGGGGGGGTGCCTGGAAAGAAAACTCAAGAAGCTTAACTCATCTTTTTAATTAAAAAAAAAAAAAAAAAAAACAACAGCACAAAAAAAGAACATGAACAAGGGTGATAAATCTCAGAGTAGGAATTTGACAAGTCATACATATATTCAGGGTAGATATTTAATAGCAAAAGCAATGTAAAATATAACACTAAAATGTAACTGAGCCACATTGGAGGTCTTTACTTTTATTAATATTTTCAGGTTGAAGATCTCTAGTCCCTAGAGATCTCTGGTACCTATAGATCTTCTAGAGATACTTTATCTATGATGGGAGTGGGCAAAAGATTAATTTTCCACCAGTTCTCACTGTAATAAATACTCAAATTAGGAAAGGGGTGAGTGTGTAACCAACTGTGAAAATCTACTTTCTTGCATCCTAAAACAAGCTGTGGTCATGCTTGGTGACTATCCCCCCCCCCCGAAAATAAACACACAAAATACAAAGACCCTGTACCTCTGGGACTGTGAATGTGGCAACCCATGTGGTGGCTTTTCCCTGTTTTGAATGCAATTGCCAGTGACTCTTGCATTCAAAGTCTTGCTTTAGGCACACATTCAAAGCACAGTTCAAAGCAGTTTATCTTAATGTAAGTAAAAGTCTAGTGTTGGATCAGGGTATTATTTGTTTCAGACTTCTTCACACTAAAAATAGGGGGCTGCAACATATTTTACAAGATAAAGCCAAAAAATTGGTCCGAGGCAGGATTTCGGTCCCTCTTCTTACCTGCACCTCTACCTTTCCAAGAGATCTCAAAGGCTGTGGACTGGAAGTTTATTCGTGCTCTGAGGTTCTCAAACACTTTCACTCTTTAGAAAAAGAAAAGAAAAGAAAAGAAAAGAAAAAAGGCCTCACAGTACTTTAAGAAATTGAGCCTGAACCATCAGAGGCTAAGAGATCTCTTCCTTTTCCGATAAATGCCTGTGCTCAGCATCCTCAAATTTGGCTGTCTTTATTTACTTCTATATTAGTTCCAATTATGTGCAGTGTAAACCAGCTTTTTGATTAACAAAACAGCAGAGCATTGGTTAAGAACACTTAAACTTCAAAAAAAATTCCCCTGGGAAGTGGGCTCTGAATTGGTTAATAATGTGCAGTGCTTGCTACATTGCTGACTTCCAGATGTGGAAAATATCTTTCTTGTTTAGGACCTATGTAACCTGATTGGATTACGACAGAAGCGTCACGTTGGAAGCTTTTGAGTGATTATTTAATTAACCATACAGTAGAAAGCTGTATTCTCCAGGAAATCCCTTCCATATTTGCATAACCAATCCCTTCAGAGCAAAGGTGGAGTCTTTTCTTTTTAATTTTACTTTAATTGCAATATCAAAAAAATATACTCCAAAACTTAGACCCCATGCCGTTTAATATCGTGCTCTCCGCCTTCCCTGCTAAGTTCTCCATGGCCTTCCTCGCTTTTGCTTCTGTCTCCCGGTACAGACTCCTTCACTTTGCAGGGAGGTCTCCGTGAGATGTAGGGAGATCCAGAGATCCAGCCCAGAGCTCTAATTTACTTAGAGACCCTTTATTAAAATGCCAAAGTACTTTCTAATATCGGGATTCAATCCAGAAATTTATCACGCGCGCGCGCGCGCACACACACACACACATACACACACACATACACACACATGCCCTAAAATACAGTTCACATGTTAGCTTTTTTTCCCCTGGCTCTAGCATCTAAAAAAATAATAATAATAAACAGGAGCAAAAGCAAAGAATTGGGTTCCAGAAGCCGTGCTGAGATAGCCACGCAACTTGATGTGCATCTCAAATCTGGTCGTTAGACACAGCTGTGTAAGAAGACAGCGAGAATGAGGACCCGGGATCTTTGCCTTTAACTTTCGCCCCTTCGAGTCCTCCAGTTCTGTGAATGGTGTGCACCGTTTTCCGCCCTGTACTCTGAGGGTTTAGCGATGAGGATAATGATGCCAGGAGGCTTGACGGGGGGGGGGGGGGGGGGGGGGGGCGTGGAGAAGGGAGGGAGGGAGAGAGGCGAGAGGGAGGGAGAGAGGAAGGGAGGGAGGTGGAATTTCATTTCTTCCACTAAAGCGTTTGCGGAGACTTCAAGGTATAATCTATCCCAGATCCTTTCCCAGAGAGAAACTTGGCGATCACGTTTTCACATGATGCTCACGCTCAGGGCGCTTCAATTATCCCTCCCCACAAAGATAGGTGGCGCGTGTTTCAGGGTCTCTCCTACAGAAAAGAAAAAGAAAAAAATGTCATTAGAAGAGGCGTAACACGTCAGTCCGTCCCCAGGTTTGTTTCCTGGAGTGGCCGAAAGAGATCAGTTCTAACCTGCTCCGCAGGAATAACGGTCCTGCCTCCCGACACTCTTGGTGAGGTTTTGCACAGTTTGCTCCCGGAGCTGTTTCTTCGCTTCCACCTTTTTCTCCCCCACACTTCGCGGCTTCTTCATGCTTTTTCTTCTCACCATTTCTGGCCAAAACTACAAACAAGACTTCGCAGGTAGGTTTTTTCCCCCTTTTTTTCTCTTTTTACCCTGTTTTGGTGTGCTCGGCCCCCGTCCTCCTTTTCTAATTTTCTCATTTCGCGTGGGGATGTGAGCCTGGCGTGAGAAGGGGCGGCTGCGGGGAGGAATTTCAGGTGGGTTTAGCTCTGTACGGCATGCTTTTCCCAAGAGTGGCTTCCTCGCTTTCTCCTGCTCCCTCACGCTTTCTCCTTCCCTTTCTCTCCCTTTTTTCCTCTCCCAAATAACGTGCCCTGTACCTGTCCACTCAGGTAACCAAAGGTGCTTTTGCTACCCAATCTGGGAAAAGTTTTATTGAGAACTGTATGCTGGAATAAAAACTCATCAAGGGAGAGCTTCTGCTCCATTTTCGCATCTAGTTCCTATTCATTATATCCAGCCATTAAAACTTGGCAAATACCTGTTAATAATTATAAAACTCGATAGCTACAGACCCACCAAATCTGGGGGTAAGTCTTTCTCTTAGACACAGCAGCCCATCCTCTCCCACCGGAGCAGGCTGTTTTCTAAGCAGAAAGTTGCCTGTTTTTGTCTGCTTAGCGAGTTTCATTTCTTTATTTCATTCTTTGTGTATATATGTGTGTGAAGTAACACCTCACTTCTGTGATTATAAATAAAGAAGTGAAAGTCCTCATGGAACTTGAGTCGTTTACCAAAGTGTGTGTGTGGGGGGGTCACTACAGCTGGGAAGAAAACTGCTGTCAGGATATCAGGGTTTTAAATTAGGATAACTTTTGAAATGATATTTTAAATTGTAGACGTGGATTTCATAGGAGAAATACACACTCAGAACCCATCCCAGACTATGGCGCTGGAAAGTCAAGGGAGAGACAGGAGTTCCTATGCACACTGGCGAGCCCCACACACACAAATGTGTTTATCTCCCACCTACTTCTACATTTTACATGCTCCCCCTGCAATGATGAGGGCTAGATTACTTACTCCAGAGTTAGAATAACAGCCAGAGATAAAGTTTACAGCACGAATGCCCTCTCTCCCTCTCTCACACACACACGCTCATAAAACTACCAACTTACTTTATTAAACATATATTTATATGCAGTCGTGTGCAAGTCTCAGCCTGAATACAGACAGGCCAGCTGTTTCATCCCAGACACTTGTGTGACCATTTCTTTATTTCAAGATTTTTCCCCAACAATCTAAAGTCAATAGAACAGGCAAAGAGAAAAAGATTTTTTAAAAATGTGTCAAACTTAAAAGTCTCCTGCTGTGTGTGCCTAGGTAAATTCAAGGTGCTTTCTAAAACCCCACTTCCCCTTCTCTCGGCCCCCCACCCCCACCCTCTCAGCAACGCGTGGAAACTGATACTCACTTTCCAGGTTTTCCGCAGCTTCTAGCACCCGAGACAATAGGTGCGGGGCGTGGGGGCCGAGCGTGCTCGGCGGCAGGGAAGGGGTTAATGGCCCTGCGTTACAGTTTGCATCTGTTACATCTTTTATAGCCCCCTGTTTAAACTAATCCTCGAGGCACAGCATCTTCCCAACCTCCACCGGGTTTCAGGACTCTCCTCTCCTGCCTGCCTCCGCGGTTCCCCTTCTCCAAGTTTTGACAGTTTCAACTGAAAAAAAAAAAAAAAAAAAAAAAAAAAAAATATTCTTTTCCAAAAAAATGGCAGTGAGACAATTGGGTATCAATGTGAAGAAAAAAAAAAAAAAAAAATGCAGCGCCTCTCTCGATTTTTAGGTACAAAAGTTTCGAAGCCAGAAAGGATACGATCCTTCAAGTAGAGCTTAAAAGTACTGCCGTAGTGGTTGGACTTTCTCTTTCCTTTCTTGAAGGGGAAAAAAAAAAATTTTTTTTTTCTGCTGGAACTATTTAAGGGCGCTAGCGTGGGGGAGCGTGTGTGTGAGCGAGGTGGGGGGAAATACTTAAGTAAATATTGTCCAAGTGATGGTGCGGGGGGCGGGGGGGGGAGGCAGTGTCCAAAGAGGCTTATATTTCTTATGGCTGCGAGGAGTGGGAACTCTCGATCTGGGGGCGGGGGGGGCACAGTGCCTGGACGAGCCCCGGAGGGGAGGGGAGGGGGCGCGAGGCGAGTGGGCTTCCTATAATTACTATTATCAATTTGCCCGAGTGTGCTTCACCCAGAGGCTGCTCGCGCTGTTTGT